AGACGGGGGTGGGGGGGGGGGGGGGGTAGGGGCGTACACGAGGGATGACTAATCGCCCTGTGGCAATTTCCATCAGAGCATGTTGTTTCCGTGTGCATACAAGCCATCAATCAGTCGACAGAGGAGTTCCGGTCGACAATTATCTGCAGAGTGTTTATCATTCGTAATTATGTTACACAGCTAATCGGGAGCTCTTTGGCGAACGACCGTAAACATCCACGGATAACCTCGGGGGCTGTTTGAACCTAGGGGTTGTGGGACTGAACAACAGGAATGGAACAACCTGACTTGTACATTTGAAATCCAAAAAAATTCCCGCTTATGTTTTTGGTTCGAGAAAATAGGAAGCTTGAATTACGGAGAAAGGGAGGTGCTCGGCTCCACCGTCATCACCAAGGCAACCAGTTAACAGAACATCACGTGACCCAACTGGTGGATGAGTGACGCAAAATCTTGTTCAATTGGAATTTCTTTGTACTGCTTATCATCCACTCGTGGATAAGGTGTTGAGGACGAGGCTGGTCGTCTTCAAAATACGATGATCATTCATGACAAGAAAAAATACAATCAGTGCACGGAGCGGAATAAAAAGCTAAGATTGTGCACACCTTTATGTTACCATGGCAACTAGCGTATTTGTGGCTGTCTTGTTTGCCAGATTCTATCAGATCCCTACAGTATTTTAGAACAAAATTAACCTTTAACCAATCAAACGGTGTGTGGCTGTTTGGACCCATCCGCCTTGCGTGTACAGGGTGACAAGCCATGTCACCTTGTCCCAGTTCTCCTACATATCAGGATACAATCTAGAAAAAACTGGCGTTAGTGGAACTTACCTCCGACTTCACAACGTGATTTTGTACAACTGTCTGCCCTCTGGTTTCCGAGCATGTTGGATTATCGGGCATCGGGACCGGAGGCGGTGGTGGTGGAGCCGTACGGAAGGTGGATTTTGACGGACAGGTGGGCTCTGAAAAAAAAGGAAGAATATAGATAAACAATAGAGCACGATTCCATTGTACAGAGCCGAGTTGATCGGATTAAGAGTTGGGAAGCAAGCACTGAAAAAAATATACAAACCTCATGGATCCACACCCCGGTTAACCGGTTAGAAAGTCCACTCTCTCGTTAAGCCATCAATCGCCATGACGTAAACCTCGTAGTCCGTCGCTTCTGCAGTTTTTATTCTAAAATTGCGTCAGTCGTCATACAATTATGTCCAACATAACCGTCATCCGTCAGGTAGAACACCTTCCCCTCGCATAAAACGCTGCACGTGGCGAAGCCGTCAGACATGGTTGCTTAGTGGATGATTTCCCCGTGGCTTTGACCGACACTCACTAATAAGATTATATCAATCGTGACAAATGGTATGTAACAACTTTCCTCTATGACTGAAATGATGCCTGTCTTCTATGCAGACAGAAATGTTTTTTTGGTGTCCTAATGGTGGGCAGTTCACAAATGTAGACAAGATCAAAGCAGTCACCGGGTTTCGGTAACACAGAAGACGGTGTTTTGCGAACGAAACGGGGGCAATGACTGCACTTCACGAAGTTCTGGAGAGATTCGAATCCGCACCTTGTTGGATGGAAGTTTAAATTTTTCAAGTGTTGGCAGCACAACCAAATATACATTAAGTCGATTTATTCGTCAAGTGCGCATTCATGTCACACATGGTGGCGTTGACGGTTCCATGAGTAACTATTTCCCACAAAGAGGCGAGATGGACTAAGCGGTTACAGCGCGAATTTAATGACCGAAAGGTCCGCGGTTCGAACCCGACGTCTGCCTCTTGACTACCCGTTTCTAGGTCTGCGCAAACTGGCGGTATCCCAGCCCTCGTGTTCCCTCCGGACAGCATGGCACCTGGGCACCGAAAGGGTGTTACAGCTGTTCAACCCTTTTTTCTGCCGACACAAAACAACTGTTCTAGTACTCAAAGACAAGCACTATAGTCTTGAAAATTGATTGCTAGTGGGCCCATCGCGTCAGCTGAGATGAATTCAGGCTCGTCTGGGAGCGCTTCGGATGCATAAGAACAGTGACCGACGTTATCAGCTTTCCTTGGCTGACTTGAAAAGTTGCAACAGCTTTGGAATGGAAGCGTAACAGCCTCATTTAAACCCTGGTTTAGTCCAGCTTTCCGTTAATCGAATTCTTCATCATTGGATTCAATTCTGAAGCTACACGACTTGATGAGTCGTTTGCGAAGCATCTAACTTCATTAAAAGAATGGCTAAGGGCTTCTTGCAAACAAATATACTTCAGTCGCGGAAAGCTGGCACGTGAATTCTGACGAATTGGTTAATTTTATGCACCTCACACAGCAGAACTAGAATTAGGCAAGGGCTTTCAACTGGATTGGATTAAAATTCACGCTCATCACATCAACAATTTGGTTACTGATCAGGTGACCAATTAGTTGGCTGAGCTTGACAGTTAGCATGCAAACGTTACGTCATCATCGGTTGGGTGGGGTTGCAGACGTTCACAATTGTTGAGTCCCGTGTCCAAGTCAGACAGTCTGACAACCGGATAGTTAAAGTGACAAAATATCCAATGGACTCCAAGTCTGTTGCATAAAAGGCGAAGAAATCCTCAGTCAAAACGTCCTCTGTCCGAACGCCTCGTCCGGACTGCTTAATGCAAGTTTTGAAGCATCGGTTGGTACGGTATCCCGGGCTAGTCCAAAACAACTGACCGATCCTAATATTTTGCTGACTTTCCTTCACTTGTTTCAAGGTTTGTCCCGATAAATTTGAAAATTCGATTCCAAAGGTGCCCACACACTATCCTGACGCAGTACCGACGAAAAGATATATATATATATTATTGTACCGTTATTATCCTATTTCAGCGGATAAGAAGTTGGACGCAAGTGCACACTGGTATAAGAGATGCAATCATGAATCAGTAGTTCATTCTTTCGACCAAGTAATCAACTGTCGGTTCATTCAATCATTGCAAGTGTGCAAGTGTTGACATACTTTTTTGCTTACGATGGATGTCAATACGCGCATTGAAATTGTGAAACTCTATTATTACCTTGGTGAAAGCGCCACCACTGCACTTCGTGGTTACAAAACCAAACATGGTTTCATCAAAGATCCTTTCACCGTGTCGATCATTACATGCTTGACTGCGAAATTTGAGTCCGCTGGATCTGTATTGGATTTTCCTGGCAAAGGGAAAAGTCTTTGGGTGGAATGCCGTCGAGCAACTTCTGTCCCAAAGCACCATAGCATCTTCGTCAATAACTCAGTTGTCAGGAGTTAAGAGCAGGAATTGAAGCGGAGTGTGCACGAATGATGATTGAAAAAGTTAAGCATGCTGTCTCACATCTCATACAGCCACTTGTTATAGAAGGAAGGGGCGGTTTTTTTTTCAAAGTTTTGTAATGTCAAGTCAATTTGTGTAAACCTCCATAATACACATGTTCACATAAAAAATAATATATGTCTAAATTAATGCTGACGTTGTAACATGAGTATTATTTTATGCGTTGATTATGAGACACCCTGTATATGACTTTCCACTTTGTTGATGAGCGAATTCCGCAATTTTAGGCATTTGAGGTTCTTAGACGAGAATTTCCCCACTTTTTCGGCATTCTTTGAGCAAACCACTGCCAAGGGTCTTGAGTCAACTCCCATTCTTATTTATCCGGGAATGTCCCAAGCCGTGGGCACAATATTGCGTCTTTATCACCGTCTTGAAGTAGGTAGAACCAGACAAGTGGCCGTACTGTATTTGTACGTGGTTGTTTGTTTCAGATCAGGTGAGAAGGTGAAAGGTGTACCGCATTCTCCAAAAACGTCCCTACTCAGTGCCAAGAGCTAAAAACTAACCGACTATTTTAACACCGCGTCACTTTTAGCAAGACGTCTCTTGGAGTTTTGCTACCCGCCCTAGCCAGTATGAATCAGCATTTTCAAGCAGTCTGTGTCAGCCATGTGCCTCGATTCGTTTTTCGACCGCTTTTCATCTTCCTTCGGACCATTCAGGTTTCACCAAAAACAATTCGAGTGGGAGGAACCGCCAACCTCACTGTGTAGAACTATTTACTGGGCGATTTCAGCCAAGTTTCCCTGTTTCCTAGTACTGTTTTGAACATTCTTCCGCATCGTTCAGTATTCCTGACTTTCTAATTTATGT